GCTTTTGCTTTGCAAATAACGGAGCTTTTCCTTACATACCTGTTCCATTCTCTAAAATGCAATGTCAGGAAGGGAGGTTCAAAAAATACGATATTTCCATTTCAAAATTCCTAAACGGCCCTTTACGAACTTCAGACGTGGCGTTTCTGCGTGGCAATAAAGCTCTTTTTGGCGCCCTGTGAAATCTTCGATTGCCCTGCGAAATCGACTATTTTTCTGATTGGGGTGTGTCACACCTCCCCACAGCCCCCCGGTATTTTCGCCCCTGTGTCTTTCGATGTTTGCGTCAGTCATTTTGTTTGTCATCGAGCCATCTCTATTCTAGTTGTTATTAGTCCATTTGCCGTTAATTTGCGTCATTAGGGTTTTTTGTGCGTCACTCATATTGTTAAAAGCGTATGTTTTTTTCAGTTCAAGTCCAGTCGAGTTGAAATTGTCGTTTAATTCAGTCGCTAGAGTTTAGGTGTGATTTTAGATGTTCGGATAGCCGTTGTTATTTCGAGAAGTTTGAAGCATACCAGTTTTGCCGAAGTGAGCCGTTTAGTCGTTGTTGAATTAGATGAATTAGGGAGCCCCCCCAATAATTGTCAAACTGTAGTTTGTTTCCTTTGTGTTTCCTACAGTGTACTGAATGAGAAGGAAAACAATGGGCAGCCCCCCCCCCCCTAATATGAATTTCGTTCCGACGGCACTGGAATGACAGAGTGTTAGAACACAGGGTTCCCATTCATTGCAGGACATCACATGACAATTGCATCATTGCGCTGCAATTGCATCAGCTTCTGTAAATTGTATTAATCTTAGGGTATATAAGGGGTGGCTTTATAGTTAGGTTCAGTCTTGCCGTAAGCTTTGTCGAACTCAGTGTACCTTGTCGCTAGCTTGAAGAATTGTGTTTGCCGTTACATTGTCGTCGTTAGCCGTTTAAGATTTCTTTAGTCGTTTGACGTGAACTGATGAATTAGAAGAAGTGTATAGAGAATTGAATAACAGTTTTTGCCGTATTTATCGTGTACGTTTCTGCGAACGACATACGAACTCACGTTTGTAAAACCCCCTTTTTAAGTGGTTTTACATTGGTTACCCCGTGTGAGGACAGCCGAGCCGAAGGAACAGAAGATGAGCACTTATCGATACCTGCGAACCACAGACGACCAGCCGATTTGCAATTACTGCAAAAGAGTGGGACACGTGGTCAAATATTGCAGAAGACGCCCGTTGAAGCAGCAACCATTGCAAGGAAAAGCTTCTGTGCCTGTGAATGCAAAAATGGGCCCAGTTTTTGAAGCCGAAATTCGGACAAGAATGACAACCCAAACCACAACTGAACCCTTCGTTGCTCTGTGCAAGTTGTTCCGCATGTTAGAAGACATAACAAAGGAGCTTGCTAACTTGATGAAAGAGCAATTGGGCCAAACAATAGCGTTCGACGAGGCAGAAATTTTCAAAACGCCCCTGACAACGATATTCAAAGAAATGACGTCAATCACCGATATACTGTTAGCTCCATAACATCTGTGCAGATCATCATCACCATTATTCTCATTACCAAAAACGAAAGAGTTTCAAGCCATGTTATATAAATGCGAAGAAGAAACGCCACAAGAAGACCAAGCCAGGAGGCTTGTTTTCAAAGGAGGGGGCTATGTTAGAACACAGGGTTCCCATTCATTGCAGGACATCACATGACAATTGCATCATTGCGCTGCAATTGCATCAGCTTCTGTAAATTGTATTATTCTTAGGGTATATAAGGGGTGGCTTTATAGTTAGGTTCAGTCTTGCCGTAAGCTTTGTCGAACTCAGTGTACCTTGTCGCTAGCTTGCAGAATTGTGTTTGCCGTTACATTTTCGCCGTTAGCCATTTAAGATATTTTTAGTCGTTTGCCGTGAACTAATGAATTAGAAGAAGTGTATAGAGAATTGGATAACAGTTTTTGCCGTATTCATCGTGTACGTTTCTGCGAACAACCTACGAACTCACGTTTGTAAAACCCCCTTTTTAAGTGGTTTTTACAAGAGGAATGATGTATGTTTTTCTGAACAGAAAATGTGCAAGTTTCCTTGTCTCAAGACGCCATGTTTTTTACATCCAAAATGAAATACATTGCATGATACAGAAATGATATACTGGAATTAATGCAAATAAAAGAAAAATAGATACACATGAATAAGCTACTAATTATATCAAACAAAATCGGCGTTTTTCTCCTCTTATTTCAATCACACTTGTTATAAAAGTAACAGAAAAAATGATAAAAATTTTTCTTGACCAAAGTCACGCTTCTACAGGGGCTGCCGTGCCTGTCATGAAATAATTTAAAAATTAACTTTATTTGTGTGGACTCAACTTGCCCTACAAATAAACATCCTTGGCTATGACTTTTTGGTAAAAAATGCTTACGCTTTGCAGAATCAAGTACGCTTTTTCCTGAACATATTCCTGTTTCATGCTCTCTAAATCAATGCCAGCAAGGGAAGGTTAATAACACTTGATATTTCTTCAGAGGTGGCGGCTTTCTGAGTGCATTAAAGTTTTTTGGCGCCATGCAAAGTTTATCGATTGCCCTGCGAAATCGACTAATTAATTAGAATTGAGGGGGGGGGGGGTGCACAACCCCTATTAACCCTCCAAGGTATTTATCACCTCTGTCTGTAATTGCCCCGCAAATAAAAATAAACACGCTTGTTAACCAACTTGCAATTTTCTAAAGGCTCTGTTATATCGTTACAACTCGACATATGCTTTCACCTACAGAAAGCTTCAATTTAGCAAAAGCAAATGTTGCCAACTTACCTACAAGAAAATTCCTATTGTAGACACCTCTCAAGGAGCAAGGGACTTTTTAACTTTCCCGCAAAAAAGCAGTCAGACCGCCAGCGTAATTTTAAAGCCAAAAATTAAACCATCATCCGAGGAAATTGAAAAAGAGTACTATTTCAACAATTTGTTGGGGCAAAGTGCGACCTTGCTTTTCAAGTGTGACATTCTAATACACCCGCAGGGCGGCATTGGAGGAATTTGAATCTGGTAGTGGTTGCAAGTATTCCGCAGTGACGGCTGGAGTCTCCAGTTTAGCTGTCCGAGATGCTGCGGATAAGTTTCCCTTAGCGA